AGATATATATATATATATATATAGATATATATATATATATATATGAGGATACTGGCTGTTAAGATGTAAACTTTGACTTTGAACTTCAGAGATATAAGATGAGCATACTCACTGACTCAAGTCTGGCATATTACAGCCCACAGCAGTTATACAATGACAGTTAAACATGCATAATTCTAACAGGACAGAATGCTCCAGAATCTTAGTAACATTTTAGAACAGCCCATCCTTTACTCTTTCTTTAGATACCCACCGTGACACCAGAGTAGAGAAAGGGCAAAGTGTTCAACTTACAGGCATTCAGTTACTGGCCACAGCTTCATTTTCAGCTGTGATTCTCAAATTCCAGCCCTTCTGCCTTATATGTCTTATAAAAACCCATTTTGTGAGTATATACATTTTTAATTCTTTCAGTGTCATTTTAAAATCATTTTCAGAGAGAAAATAAACATGTGTGATCAATCCACCCTATTCTAATGGAAATTAACATCTCTGGTTTCTCAAACCTTTTAGACTTACATTAAATAGTGCAGGATAAGGCCTGCTAATGCATTGTCTCTAAACTTTTTACTCTCTCAGGATGGCCACCACAACAATTCATGTTGTTTTCTTCTAAATAATAATTTCTTATCCTTTGATACCTTTATCAAACTCACAGAGGTAACTTTTCTTCATTCTTTGGCAGTGTATGTGAATGCTAGCCCAACCTCTGAGCTATACCCATAGCCTTTGGTTTTTTAAGACTCTCTGTAGTACAGGATGGCTTGAACTTATTTCATAGCCCTGTCTGCTCATGAACTCATAATCTTCCAGCTCTATCTAGAGGGGCTATGATTATAGTCATATACCACCACATCCAGATCACAGAGGTAATATTTGAGAAAGATATTTAGAGAATAGCCACTCTAACTTCCATGAATACTAGTTAATTCTCTTATTGTCCAATTTGAGAAAATAAGGACAGGGCTTGTTTCATCTAAAAGAACGGAATAAGAATGTCAATTGTAAGACAGAACCTGAAAACAACCTAAGAATAGATAAAGACACTGTGGCGCATTAATACACTGGAGTACTACTCAGTGGTTAAAAAACAAAAACAAAAACAAAAAACAATGGCATCTTGAAATTTGCAGGCAAATGGATGGAACTAGAAAAAAAAATCATGAGTGAGGTAACCCAGACACAGAAAGACCAATATACTATGTGCTCACTCATAAGTAAATATTAGACATAGAACAAAGAATAACCAGCCTACAATCCACAACTCCAGAGAAGCCAGGAAACAAGGAGGACCCTACAACAGACATATATGGATTCCCCCGTCCCCCTCCCCAGGAAGGGGAAATAGACAAGATCTCCTGAGTAAATTGGGAGCATGACGGGGTGGTAGGAGAGTGGGGAGGGGAGAAAGGGCAGGGGGAAAAGAACGTAAGTGATTGTGAAGGTTGAATTGGGGGAAGGGCAGAGATACCTTGACAGAGGGAGCAATTATGGGGTTGGCAAGAAACCTGGCATTAGGGAAATCTCCAGGAAACCACACAGATGACCCCAGCTAAAAATCTAAGCAGTTGTGGAGAGTGACCTTAACTGCTTTTCCCCTGTAATCAGATTGATGACTACTTTAATTAATTCCAGTAACTGATGGAAGCAGATGCAGAGATCCACAGCTAAGCACTGGCAGAACTCCTGGAGTCCAGTTGTAGGGAGGAGGAGTGATAATATGAGCAAAGGAGTCAAGCCCATGATGGAGGAAGCCCACAGAAGCAGATGACCCGTGCAAGTGGGAGCTCACGGACTCCGGACTGACAGCTGGGGAACCTGCATAAGACAGAACTAGGCCCTCTGAATGTGGGTGACAGTTGCTTGGTCAGTTTGTGGGGCCTCTAGCAGTGGAACCAGTATGTATCCCTAGTGCATGAACTGACTTTTTGGAGCTCATATCCTATGGAGGGATACCCTCTCAGCCTACATACATGGGGGAGGGCCTAGGCCCTGCCCCAAATGTTCTGACAGACTTTGATGATCCCCATGGGAGATCTCACCCTCTCTGAGGCATGGTTGGGGGTGGAGTGGGGAGGAAGTGGGGTGAGCAGGAGGATGGGAAGAAGAGGGAACTGGGATTGGTATGTAAAATAAGAGTTTTTTTTTTTTTTTTTTAAAAAAAAAAGACAAACAAATGAATGCCAATCCCAGAAATAACTTCAGAATTAGAAGGAACATCTTGCTGAGTGAAGACTTTGAATGCTTCATACACAGAACATACAGACATGGAAGTTAACAAATAAGTTACATAAGAGAGGGCATTATTACAGTCAAGATTTGACTATAATATTTTACATATCATTACACACAGCTTAATTGTTTTATTTTTTTTCTATGAGTGAAGAATTGTGTTACAATCTCCATTCTGGGCATGTATAACACTAATTTCTCTTAATTGATGGCTTCTATAGCCATCCTGCTTAGGTAGCCTCATGAGTTTGTTCATTCGGAGAGAATTTCAATTGAATCACACAGTGCTACAGATATTATTAAAATATGAGGCTAATTCAGTTTGGCTCTCTGGTGAGGAATATTTTCTGTAGGTGATTTAATTAATGACATGCATATGCAACTAACAGTGGCTATAGAAAATAAATTCATGAGTGGTTTATGTTACGTTTGAAGTACTTTCTGAATATTGCTTTTGAATAGGAGAGTAAAGGAAAATAACAAAAAGACTAAATCCTGGATTACCTGTATTTGATAATTTGGAAGAAAGAAGTGTTTAATGTCAAAATATCTAAATATTTAGATGGGTGCTATTCATATCTGTGTACTTTAGGCATGAACTCTAAATATGCAGAAACTGCATGATCCTTTGTCACTACCTGACTTTTTGTGACTCAGTAATCTGTGACTTTTACAAAGGTCATGCTTCTCCCTTTCATTTAGTCAAATTAGTAATACAAGCCATGTGTGTCAAATACTACTATACACATCCAAAATGAATCTTCAGATTCACAAATGAACTTAAAATATTGATTTTGAAGAAGCGGCAGTAAATAGCATAAGTGGTATAAAATTTCTTACCACTATATAAGTGGTAAGAAAACTATTTCATTTATTCAAAATTCCACACAGATTAGACATGCCCTATTCTTCAAGATAGGAAAAAAAAAATAACCAGTGCAGGGAAATAATACTCTCTTTTGTTTCTCTCCTAGAAGTTATTGTAGTCAGCACTCAATCCTTCAAAAGAAATGATTCGCCTCTTTTGTTTTGTGGTGTATGTTAGCTATGAACCAAATGACAGTGTGTGTCAGTCAAATGCAATACTTGCAATGGTATTAAAATCTGACTATCAATGCAGAAGGTCCTGGAAAATGAGCTTAATCTGAATAATATATCATTTCCTTTGCATCCGCAATCTATCATTTCGCAAACCATGCTTAGTAAAATGTCAAAAATAAAAAAGAACCCACTTAAATGAAAATATATCTTCATCTCATTCATCTTCATCTCATTTACATGTTACTGTGTTAGGCAGGCTAACATTAGCTTTCCTGTGAATGCAGAATGAAACGGATAACACACTTACTTGTTTTAAAAGACCTTAGGTCTTCCTTTTAAACTCCAAAGGATTGATATTAGAATCCTTATTTTAAACTTAAAGAATTTAAATTAAAATTTAATTGAAGGACTAAAAACAAATTGTTGGAGGAAATGATGTGTGTATTTAAAACTAGCAGTTTCCACTTCTGTTCTCTTGGTTCATAGAATATTTAAAATTGATGCTATTATTTACTTATCCTAGTATACTAGATATTAATTGCCTGGAAGATTCCAAATTCTCTAGCTAGCTATGGCCACCTTTTCAAATATACTAACCTAATAAGAGTTGGAAATTCAGATCCTTGTCAAAAGGGTGAAGCATGGCATAGAGATGTGAGTTTCTCAAATTTGTGGTTCTAATAGTCCCCTGGTCTCTCTTTACTTCACATCTTGAGAATACTGCCATTTTCTGTGTACAATCAGTGAAGGGACTACTGTCTTGAGTGTATTCCATCCCCAGCGCTGTATGTTTCATCCAAATCAAGGCTATGACTGGAAAACTTAATGGAACACTGGGAAAGAAAGCAAAGAAAGGATTGTCATGGGTCATACACAACAAATGCCTTGAAATTATTTACTGATCTATTATCATAGTGTCTATTTACTTATTGTGTGAGTTAGTCAGCAATGATAGTCTTACTATGTAGTACGTGCTAGCCTCAAACCTGCCCTCCTTCCATGAGGCTGAGATTGAAGGCATGGATCATTACTCCTGACATAGTTCTCCTTTCAAAGGCATCCTGGCACTTATACAACTGTTAGCAGCTGCAGCTTACCGCCACTGCTTTTTCTCTTCTGACGCCATCTTCTTCTGGATAATGTTACCTTCATTACTCCAAGGTCCTGTTTGTTTCTTCCACAGAACAAAACAGTGGTGATTCGTTTAGCCCATCCGTGCAGACATTGCTGATAGGAAGTTAGTTTGGGAGTTGATTTTTCTAGCACCCCTTAAGCTACATTTCTGTTCAGGGTAAACGTTCCCCAAAACCAATTTATCAGCTTTGTTTTCTCCCTTTTGCACAAGGTGTAGCAATTTGGAAATGGAGGGCTTAGAATTTACCCAATCAATAAAAGGAAGCAGCAGGCCTGGGGAGACCACCCAGTGGCCACACACAAATTGAAAGGTCTGAGTTTAGATCCCCAGAACGAATTTAAAGCTGGATAAAGCAGCACACATTTATAACTGCAATGTACCTATGGAGATGCAGGAGGTGGATGCAGGAGAATCTCCAGAGACTAGTAGTTAGCTAAATGGGAGTACAAAGGGGCAAACAAGAAACTTCGTGTATCAAACCACATGAGGTGGAAGCCAGGACCAACACCCAATGTTAGCCTTTGAATTCTACTTGCATACCATGGCATACATGCCCACATTCACATACACAAACACACTGATACACAGGGGTGAAGAAAGAAATGGGGGGAGAATAAAGCTGGGAAGAAGAGGAGGGAGGCAGACAATGAAAATAAGAATTATTCACCTTTAAATTTATAATAGTATTCAGCCATTTTCTGTAAATGGAGAAAGAAATGCAAGCTGTGGTCTGAGCCTTGAGGTGGTTTAACCTCGCCTTCAGCAGGAGTTCAATGCATGTGCCTTATCCTGGGATGTTTCCATAGTGTTAGGAAGCCAATGAGCTTCTCAGATGCTAAATAGCATCTCAGTTCTGTACTTTAATTCTTAACTGTTCCCAGTGAACATCTCTACAGGAAAGGACACAGCATAAAGAAAGCCATGGCAGTGTGCAGCTGCTTCACTCTAAAGCACGTTATCTCAGACACTCTGCTGTTCTCAGTATTTGCAGTTAAGTATTATGTTAGCCATTCATGTATAATTTATTCTCTCATTTCTAGGCAATTTTCACATGCTCTCACTAAATTCTTTTGAAACCTCCATCAGAGATCAACAATAGAGTCGAAGCTTCTTGTTCTGAACCACGAACAGAACTGACCGGTTAATTTTATTTACTTATTTTACCTTTGGTACAAAAAACTAATCGCAGCAGCTTCAGTATACTAAGCAAGTACTCTACAGCTGAGCTACACTCTCAATCCAAAACTGCTTGTATTTCTAGAAAAACGAAAGGAGTAAGAACATGACGGAGGAGGAGAATGGAAAGGGAGAGAGAGAGAGTTGCAGTAAGTGAAAACCAGAGTAGAAAGAAACCAAAGTAGTCTCCGACATTGTTGATGGTAATCTCACAAGAAAAAAGCTATAACTCATGACCTGCTTGGGGGAACTAAACAACTTCTATCATAAATATATAAATATAAGGATCACTCCTGCCTTCAATTTTCAGTAACAAATGTCTTTTGCAATTGCTGATAAATGTTAAGAACATCTGAGGAATAAACCTGAGAACCTTGTCTGCAAAGACAAGTTTAAAAAAAGCAACAAAACCTAACCATGAAAAGGGAAGGGTGCATCCAAACCACTTCTGTTCACAGAACGGATCATTAGCAGAATTCAGACACTCAGCAACAAACATGGCTATAAACATTTGTCCCCACAGTCCACAGGACAAAGAAAACGCTCCTGTGAGAACGGCTAGCAGATCTTAGGGCTCCAGTCTTTGAAGTTTGAAATATTTCCCTCGAACTGCAATCGGCTTCTTTCTCTCTGACCTCAGGGGAAGATCACAAAAGCAAATTCTCCTTCAGCACCCCCCAACACTTCAGTTATCCTGCCAAAAACACAGCCACTGATAAAGCTCACCAGTGATTCATTGCATACCCTCACCGTAAGGTTTCCAGTATAAATGCCATTTTAAGCAAGTCTCTTATGTTTTATTAATGCTTGAAAGACATTTAACAGCAATGATGGTGCCAAATGGTTCTTACCATATCATGTCATTAAAACCCAGATGTCTGCAGTGACAGGAGCACAGGCCACCAGCCCCAGGGGCTTTCCCTCCCTTCTCATTTCCTGAGCTCATTTACAAGACTCGGGGTGTGACTCTTCATATTTCTTTTTCTCCGAATGTCAATTCCTGTTTCTTTGTGTTGACTAGAAGAAAAGCAAGAATGAGAAAACAACATCAAGAAAAAGACATTAGGGAGAAGATCTTGTTAATTAAAATTCACATTGGTACCCTGTTTCTATTTTTAAATGTCTTCTCAGGGAGAAAATAGCCATCAAAATGATACTTTAGTTCCTAGTATTTCCTATCCAACTATCCTGTGTGGTGGTTTCCTCAAGTCCTAATCTTCCCCAGAGCCTATATTCAAAGCATTATTTCATTCACCAGCCTGAAGAGACAACTGTGATGGCCGCAGCTTCTGGCTCATGTCCAGGAACTCATGTGTAATGAAGTTTCTACTCAGTTTGGGCTTGTGCTGTTGTTTTGCACCCAAGGGAATCTCTAAAGCTCTCACCTTCCTGTGATTCTGTAGGAAAAGCTAAGGGGCCATGGATGTCTAGGGGACACACCTTAGCTTCTAGCTATGATTTTTATGATGGTGGCCTTCTTCTTCAAACCTGTTCACTTTGGGTCCTGATTTTCAGAATCACCAATTCAGTCTTGGCCCCATGTAGGGAGTCTCATCAGCAAAAGCATCCTACTACCATTGCCTCAGCAGATGTCAACCTACAAGGCAACTGAGTCTTGGAGGCAAAGGAAATGATGAGTTTGACTAAAGTATGTGGAGGATGGGAGAGGGAACATAAACCAGGACTCCCCTCTGGCAGTTATTGTTCTAGAGATGAACGCCTGACGCTTGACTTTATGGGAGGTTCCTAAGAAAAATGTCATTATCTCACAGTAGCTTTCTGAAAGCTGGTTGTATAACAGTAAAAAGAAGTGGAGAGACAAAGTGGGTGACGCGTTCCAATTCTCTCACATCAGTGTTCCACCAATGGTGTCCCATGTTCAGGCAGCAGAGGGATGTCCTACAGCTGTTCTCCTGCCAAAGTTCCAAAACAAAACTCAGGAAGCGAAAGCATAAAAGAATACAAAAACAAAACAAACAAAAAACCCCAGATAGATAGTGTTATTTTCCAGACACTGGTTTCTCCTCTTTCTTTCCCTGTCCTGTTCTCTGAACACTTTCATCACGTTATTCTCTACTTTGAGAACTCTGAAAAATACTAAACACAGAGAAAATGTGAGCTCTCCTCTCTCTCTTGCTTTGGAGGTGTTTGTTAACAAGAAATGTGGAATCGTCTCAGGCTATATTCTCCAGGGGCAGGATAGCCAGAATCTCTGCTTTATCTTTTCTAGACAGGTCTCCATACTTGTGCTAGATTACTCTGTTTCTGGCACAGCTCATGTAGTTGAAGGAATGCTACTAGCCAGAAGCTTCAAATTCTTTGCTGTGTCCACTCTGCAGTCCACAGTTATCACTAACTGGCCATACAGAAGGGGTTGTTCAGCAAGTGAGGAGTGTTGTTTCGGGGACTGTATAACTAACTGGCTTCGGTCTGGCTGTTTGTCAGGGTGGGCCATGATGTTGGGTCTGCCAGTCCACACCTCCAAGTTGGCACTGGTGACAATGGATTTGTTTAAATGTTTGTCTTCTCCAATACAATGTGAGCTTCTCTCACTCAACTTTGCTTGGCCAGTGCCCATACTGGGCCTATCCCAGCAAGGCTTTCTTTGATACCCAACAAATGTGTGAGAAGTCAGCAAAAACTTGAAAAAGATGGGCTCTAGAGTCCTTTCCAACACTCAGATCTTCTTTTGACCATGCCTGTCTTTTACTTGTTTATGACTATGACAAGTATTCATGAATTCCAGACTCAATTTCCAAATTCTCAAACTTGACAGTTACACAACCCGATTGTTAAATAGCCTCACCTATTGGTTGAGTATGTATATCACTCTTTTTTTTGTTTTCTAAAAAAAAAAAAAGAAAAGAAAAGAAAAGAAAAACCCATGCATTTACTGATTGGAGGGGGCAGAGGGAATGTTCCACAATGCACAGATGGAGGAGAGTGGACAACTTGCAACTCTTTCCTTGTGAGTCCGGGGACTGAACTCAGGTCGTCAGAATTGGCAGCCAGGGCTATCTCGCTGGCTTTGCATCCCAGTATAGGTGCTTTTCAGTTTACGATGCAGTAACATTTGACAAACCCACCATAACCTGAAAATACTGTAAGTCAAGAGTGCATTTAGCACACGCAATGCAGCAGACATCCTATGTCAGTATCAATATGCTTAGAGCATCAGTTGTTTAGCCTTGAGAACTCCCAGCTGCCCAGACACTAGGGCTTGTTAAAGGCAGCCCAGCACTGGAACAGGGAATCGAAGCACAGCCTCCATCTGATTGCCTATTATTCTAATTTGTACTTGTTTCCTTCTCACTTTCATGATGTGTTGACATTTCTTCCCCATTCCAGAATCTGCAAAGTTTCTGTAAGGTGGCTATAAATCCGGAGACTTCTTTTGAGCATAGTTTTTTTTACAGATACATAGCAGGCACTGGACAACTTGGTAGTATAACTGTATCAGGGTTTAGATATTAGACTTAAATTGTCTTGGCAGCATGGGTCTTATTTTTAGCCCCCACCCTCCAAAGACCTCCACAGTAAAGGTCGTAGAAAAATTTTTTTCTTTTAAAAACTGAACATCATATCTATAATTGTACGCGGTGATGTTGCTACACTGACTGCAGTTTTAATTAAGAAAAACACACTCAGCTGTTTAAAACAGTCCCTTAAAGAGGGCTCGCAGCTGAACTCTTCCAGCATCCAGCATCCCACCCCTTCCAGTGGCCTGATGTGCGACGGGGGGAGGAGCCATGAGCAAGTTGGCTCTGGGAAGCGGGAGAGCGCGGGATGGGGAAGTCCCGGAAGTCAGTGACCAGAGAGTCTCGGCGGGTTCACTTTGGGCAGTGGTCCCAAAAACTGCAAGCTCTCCAGCGGGGCGGAGACCGCTCCCGACCGCGGCTTGGGGGCGGACCCGGATCGAGGGAGGCGGGTGGGACGCTCTCGGAGCTCTAAGGCGATTGGCCAACGCGGATGAGGGGCGGTGGCGCTCCAGGCGAGGAGCTAACAGGTCGACCGATCAGAGAGCGTGCTGATTGGGCGGGACGGAAGGAGCTGGACCAGAGCTGGCAGCTCATTGGTCCCGGCGGGCCGAGGAGGCGTGGCCGGCACGCGCGAGAGGGAGGGCGAGCGAGTGGGGCTGGCCTGCCCGCGAGCCGGTCCAGCTACGAGCGCGGCGGGAGCACGTCCCAGCTCGGCCACGGTCCTAGCCTTCGGTCCGCCGCGCTCCGGTTGGGGGGGTCTTGGGACGGGAAGCGCGGCGACGCGACGTGGGCAGCCGGCAGCGGGAAGCAGGGCGGAGGGGGTCGAGGCGCGCTGCGCTGCGCTGCCGACGGGTCCTCGCCGGGTGCTGCGGGCCCCGGGCGCGCGGGGCTCCGCGGCGCGCGCACTATGCGGGCGGATTGCCGGCCGCCGCGATGGCGAGCCGGGCTCCGCTGAGAGCCGCGCACAGTCCGCAGGGTCCCCGAGGCCAGGCCGCGCCCGCCGCCACCGGCCGGGCCGCGCTGCCCAGCGCAGGCTGCTGTCCCCTCCCTCCTGGCCGCAACTCCTCCTCCAGGCCTCGGCTTCTCCTGCTGCTGCTCCTGCTGCTCCAGGACGCTGGAGCCCAGCAAGGTGAGTGGTGGCCGCGCGGGCTGGCCTCCCGGGGCTGTTGGAGGAACCTGCGGACGCACCCGGAGATGCAGCAACGCCACACTCGATGTGCAAAGGGGGGCTCTGCCGCCCGGTGTCTCAAGTTTGCGCCGCGTTACTTTTCCTCGAGGCCATTCATTTCTCTCAAAAAGAGAGACATGAGACCCTGCCCGCGAGGCCTCTTTGCTGTCTCCTTCTGGACTGATGGACCGAGTAGGAAGCCAGTTGAAAAGCATCTTGAGCTTAGTGAAGACAGGTAGTGACTACTGTTCTTAGGGAGAGCGCCCAGATTCTAAAGCGAGTCAAGCAGATGGCAGGGATCTTTAGAGCCTTGCATTTGTTATTCTTTCTTTAGGGCACCTGCCCGTTAATTGAGGACCGTGGCTTGTGGATTGGCTTGATCAAACACAGAAGTGAACCAGGGTAGCGGTCCACTACCAAAAAGGCAAAGCTTTCCAGAAAGTGACAAAACTTTTTTCCCCATCTACAATCCTTGGAAAACCGTTTCCAGAAGGGGGCAAAACTGTTGGTTGATAAACCATCACAATGGAAAGAGAATACAGGACTGAACTTTTTAGTGTTGCTTTTTCAGGCAGCATACCACATTTTGTTTGGCATTAGTTGTTGGACACATTTTCCGTTGCTTTTCTCATTGCATTGCAATGAGGAAAGATAAGGATTGTGTTGTTACTGCTAAGAAGAGTTTTTTTTTAATACATTTTCATCTATAAGTCCAGCTTCCCGCTGAGTGCACATTTTTGTCAGTAAAGTGCATCTCCAAGGTCATGGGATTGTTTTGAGGAGAAGAAACTGCGACTTTGATGGCCACATGAGAGTGTAATCTCAAAGGGAAATATTTGCTTGGTTAACTGTACTCTTTCGTAGTTACATTTAAACTAAGTATTTAGATGAGTGGCAGGCAGGTTTCAGTCAGCACTTACTATATTAGAGTCTGGAAGCCTCTGAAGTCTTCGAATCTGTGCATGAGTTTTCTTCTTAATGGGAGGGAAAAAGACCTCTGTGGCTTACAGAAGCTTAGTATGTGCAAGGCCCAGGACTAAGTGGTCCATGTAAATCAGTCCATTTAACCCATGGCTAGGTGAGATAGTTATCCCATTTCCAACAAAAGGAAACTGAGCACGGTGAATAGAGCATATCTTACTATAGAAAGGAATATGACTATATAAGCAGCATACTCCTGTGTTTTGCACATTTCTAGATGGCGAAGTATTTACATCATATTTAAAACAAGTCTTCCAGTAGTATAGTCAGCTACATAGGAGACAGTTGTCTTTTGGAATATGTCATGGCCAGACTAATGTACATTCAGCATTATCTTATTTTAAATGACTTTGAATAATTTTAATCAACATTTTAGCAATATA